AGAGCGTCAGGTCATCCCAGGTTTATTACAAAGACCTTCTCTGAATGGTGCACGTATTTTATTGGACAAAACTGGGTCCAAGCTCCTGTTTTCCCCTATTCTGAGGACACTTTATCCAGAGCTAGAAGGAACCCTGGGCCTTTGATGTAAATTTTGGGACAGGCAAGGCTGGAGGAGCAGGTCTGCTGGGGCAGTCAGCAGAAAGATGAGAAGGCTCAGGTGCCAACAGGAGGACGAGAACCCCTGAAGTCCCAGGAGTGATGGACATCTGTGGAGGAGCAGAAGATGACCTTATGGCCACGCGTTGACAGGAGACACCCGGCCAGGGGGACTCTATGGCTGGGGCTTAGGAAAAATAGCAAGATGCAAACTAGTCACAGCTGCAAGCCACTGGCTGGGAGGGAAGGAGAGGTGGGAGGCTAGACCTGAAGGGTGTTGAAGTACATGCGGTGACTTTTTCATTACCTGTGTCTTCTCCCTGCTGCCTCTTGCAGCAATTCTTCCCTTCCATGCCCTTGTGCAGAGATCAACTCGGCTCGCAAGGCACACAGTCATCACAACCTGGTCGAGCTTGTGGTCTCTTCATTCCCTCCCCATGGCACCAGGACATCCCTCTGACCACGGCCCCAACACTGAAGTGGTGGATGGTTTGGGGCTCAGACCTGACTCCATGGGTTGCTCCATTAGGAACACGTCCCCTCCTTGTTGGTGGCCAGGACAATATCTCACACAACATTAGCAATTTTGAGTCTCTCATATCTGACCCGATCATCTACAATCCCTCTATAACCTTCTTCCACCACTTCGACCTCACCAAGTCACTCCATATCACTGAATCTGTATAATGCTGCATTCTCGTTCTTTTGAGTTTCAGGGTTTTTACTGGTAGAAGTCCCTCACCCATTGTATTTATTCAATCCACTTTTGAATACCAGTAAAAACCTTAGGAGTCTACACAGAGGACCAGATAGAGACCTTGCTTGAGGAGACTGAGGGACTTTGTGGTGCTGCATGGAGGAACTGGGACCCACAGGAGCTCAGCGCTGTGAGCTGAGGGCTATGGGGCACACAGGGCAGGGGTCTCCGCTCTGCCAGAGAGGGTCATCTCTGCTGACCATCACAGTGACTGCTCTGCTCTTCTGGCTTGACAGAACAGGGTCTTCTAGGGTCCTGAGGGAGCCTTGCCTTCGACACCAGAAGCATGGCTGCCTAAGCCTCGCATGATGTCCTAGTGTCTTCTGTCTTCTTTGTAAGTGGCTTGTCTGCAAAATGAAGGAGCAAGGTGACGGTCCGAGGGTGCAGTCCCCAGCCCAGGGTACAACCATGCCAGCCAGGAGGTGCAGCCAGCTCCACAAGCAGGCCAGGTGCACCACATGCTGTCGTCCTGCTCTTACCTGGGGAACGTCCAGCCCGTCTTCCACACCTTGTGTACAGGTACAGGACCAACAGGGTCCCACAGAGCATTGCCCCCATGCCAAGCAGGCCTGCCAGCACCGAGCAGGACTGTATAAGGTCTGCAGGAAGAGTGAAGCTCAGAGAGGGTTGGTTGGATGGCCTGACCCTCTCTGCCCCTCTCACCCTTCCCTTCTGCTGCATGTTTTTGGGGACTTGCAACATCCTCCCTCACTGCCTTCCTGGGTGCTGAGGCTGACCCTCATCAACAGGAGTGACAGCTCACCCTCTGCTCCAGGAGGGTGGGTGCATGGACACCTCCTGCATTGGGCTAACGCAGACAGAGTGTGTCCACTGGGGATGCTCACATCTCCGTGCCCACTGAGGTACCTTCACCCAGTTGATCCCACTCCGCTGCCTCACAGCTGCTTCCTCCAGGTGCCTCTACCCTGCCCACCTAACATATCCCAGAAAAAAGGTTTATGGCAATGCTTCTGCCTGCTTGGGAGGAGGCCAAGACTGGGATGAAGATAGGAGCTGTTACCCCATGATGTGTCTGCACCGACTTGGCCCCAATGCAGACAGAGCGGATGACCAGGGATCCCAGCACCCACCTTTCTGCTCTGTGCACACCACGCCGGCTGCCGAGCCCTGCCGGCACAGCCCCAGCCCCATCTCTTTCTGCTGGCACTCCAGGAGCAGCGACTCGGTCCCCCGGCAGCTCAGCCCCTCCAGCAAGGCACGGCCGTTCCCCCGGCTGAGCTGGGCTCCGATGGGTGCCGACTGGGCTGGCCCGCAGCCCAGCTGCTTGCAGACCACCTCGGCTTCCAGCAGGCCCCAGCCGCTGCTGCACACCCCGTGCCAGGTAGCGTTGTAGAGCACTTCCACCTGCCCCGCGCAGGGACCAGGACCATCTTTCACCTGCACCTGCAAGGGGTTTGTGCCTGCAAGGAAGAGCACAGGGGGGTGAGGAGGCCCCTCCGAGCCCATATGGCGATGAGAGCTTCTGACTTGCTCCTAGACATTTTTTTCCAGTGCCTTGCTGAAGGCAAGCCACCATCACCCACGACCAGCTACAAGGCATTCACTCCATCCCCCTGTACGAGATTCCTTATAAGCAATGTCACTACAGGGCTGGTATCTGTGAGATGGGGCTCATGGGAGACCCACACCCACCTCCCCCATGGCACTGGACTTCTGTGTCTAGGAAAGGTGCGCCTGGATTTTATTTTTTTTTTAAAGCAAGGCTTTGTCCATCCCAGGATGCTGTCACTGATGAGGTAGAGGGGCATAGTCTAGATTAAATCAGTATGAGTCAGGCGCACAACTCCTGTCTAAAGCAGGGTGGCATTTTTGCCACCAAGCCAAATGGCTGGGTGAAAGCTGACTTCCTCTCTGATGCTGGGGATGGGGAAGAATAAGCAGAGAGGAGAGAGCCTGGCATAGCCCTGGGGTAAAACAGCAGCTCCAGCACCCGTCAAGCCCCTCCTTGGATGGACATCAACCATCCTGGCTCACCCATCCCGGTCCCTGCAGCCTGCTGTTACCTGAGCACACCACACCAGCATCCTCTATGTGGCCACAGTTGTGCTCTCCCCAGTTGTTCAGCTGACAGTCGGTGAGGGTGGACTCGGTCCCTGCGCAATTCACATCGTCCAGCCAGATGGGATCTGACCCTTGCCCGAAATGAGCTGAGCCCGGTGCTGACAGTGCCACCCCACAGCCCAGCTGCCTGCAGACGACGGCGGCGTCCAGCAGGTCCCAGCTGTCATCGCACACGGTCCCCCACTTCTGGTCGTGAAAGACCTCAACTCTCCCCAGGCAGCTGTTTGAGCCATTCACCAGCCGCAGCGGGCGCTGCCCCGAAGTGTCCGCATCTGTGAAGGGAGCAAGGGGCACGGTCATGCCTGACTGTCATCCATGGCTCCCGTTGGGCTTTGCAACATGCTAAGCCACGGGAAAAATTGGAGCATCCTCCCACATGTCCAGCCTCTGGCTGCCTGGGAAAGGTGCTACACTGACAGAGCTGGCTTGGGATTTGCTTCTCATGGGGGTCAATAAAGAGGGGTCACAGCTCCAGAGCTTGGGGCTTGGAGTGTGACAAAGGATCCTGGGCTCAACACTGGCTATGGGAGGGTCCTGAGGTCCGTAGTGAGTATGGGAGGGTCCTGGGGTCAACAGTGACTACGGGAGGTAGTAGCAGGCATTGCCTGATGAATTTGTGTAGCTGGAGCTATCAGAAAGAGGAGAGGTAGGAGAAGGGCTTGCTCTTCCTACACAAAATCATCCTAACAGCACACTAGAGTCTCACAGCCTGTGCCAACACAGGGAAGAGCATCATCCACTGTGGCATTCACACTGTTCCCTTGATTTAATTTTATTTTTTTAAACCACAGTGGAGTAAAGGCACCCATCCCTGGCTACCTGAGACTCTATTGAGCTGATCGTGCACCCCAACCCGCACAGTACTTATCCTGAGTAACGTGGATCACCTGAGCACACCACACCAGCATCTTTCTGGTGGTCACAGCTGTTGGATCCCCACGGTCTGGCCTGGCATTCAGAGAGGGCGGCTTCTGTCCCCGTGCAGTTCACGTCATCCAGCCAGATGCGGCCGGACCCTTGCCCAAAGTGAGCCAAGCCTGGGGCCAAGACAGCCGTTCCGCAGCCCAGCTGCCGGCAGACCACCGTTGCCTCTTGCAGGCTCCAGCCGTTGTCGCACACTGTCCCCCACTGATGGTGATGGAGCACCTCCACGCGCCCCGCGCAGCGGCTGGGGCCATTCTCCAGGCGCAGACGAGCTGGTGTGTTGGTGGCTGCGCCTGCTCATGACACGAGACACAAAGGGAGCATCAGACCAGGTCTCCCCCAAGGTGTTTCTTCTTGCCACCATGGTGAGACCCATGCCAGCGGATACTCCACTGTGTTTTGCACAGGGGATTGCCCATGTCCACAAAGAGCTGTTGAGGAATATCTAAAGTTTGGGGCTAAACACCTCAGGGGTGGGCAAAACCAGCTGTGCAACCTCAGAGCCTGTGCATGTTCAACATGAGTGCAAGCAAACCATAAATGGCTGCAATCCTTTTTTATGTCCTCCTGGGTGGCTGTCCATGAACCACATGGCCACAGCAGCTGCCCGAAGGGAGAGACTTTCTGCAGACCCCCATTGCCACTGCCTTTTCTTCAAAAAGACTTCAGGCCTCCCCGCACCTCATCTTTGCACAGCCTGTGGGCTAGTGGTGCCCATACTGTGGTGGGTTGGGACCCTGTTAGGAGTATCTAGAAGCCAGTCCAGTGCTTCCCCTCTCTCCTTGGTGTCCATGTGAGTGTATTTTTTGTATGCTGTCCAAAGGGCATCGTTCCCTTCCTATTACCCCTGCTGCTCCTTACTTTCATCCACCTGTGTGCTGAAAAGTGCTAGTGTGGCAAGTTATAGGAGATGGGACAAGGGGGACAAAGTCGCCCACCCAGGTGGCTGCTGCCCAGCACTTGGCTGCAGCTGTGAAACCGGTACAAATCCCCAGAGCAGAGCATTCTCCACTGAACTTCTCCTCCTGGTCCACAAGCATGATGTTACCTGTGCACACAACGCTGGCATCTTCTGTATGTTCACAGTTGTTGACACCCCAAGGTCTGGCCGGGCATTCGGACAGGGCAGCTTCCGTCCCACTGCACTCAACGTTGTCCAGCCAAATGGGGCCCGATCCTGGGCCATAGCGAGCTGCGCCATGGGCTGAGACTGCCGTCCCACAGCCCAGCTGCCGGCACACCACGTTGGCGTCGTAGAAGCTCCAGTTGTCATCGCACACGGTTCCCCACTGGTGGTCGTGCATCACCTCTACTCTTCCAGAGCAGCGGTTTGGGCCGTTCACCAGGCGGAGCTCTGCAGGACCGGCGTGGATGGCCGTAGGGTGGCTGGATGAGTCTGCAGAGGGCACAAGAGATGCACCGTGAAAACTCCCTTGCCCTTCATTTGTGCAGGACCATTCTGCACTCCACTGCAGTTGTTGACTGCAGCCAACGGTTACTAATGTGCAGCCACCTTGGGACTGGGACAGGGGTGATCCACGTGGTCCCAGCAACCTGTGGTCTTTCCAGCTGTGGCTGGAGACCCTGAGGATACTGAGACAGGAGAAGGTGGAAAGCTTTTTTTCCTGGAGTTCATGAGGCACCGCATCCTCTTTGCAGGTGGAGGTGACAACCGAGGGGGCTCAGCACACCCATGTGCCGATGTCTGTCAGGACAATTATGGCACTGGTGGCTCCAGCATCTACCAGTTGCTGTGAGTGCCTGCAGAATCACAGAATCACAGAATGGTTGGGGTTGGCAGGGACCTCTGGAGATCACCCAGTCCACCCCGCCCTGCCAAAGCAGGGTCACCTACAGCAAGTTGCACAGGAATGCATCGGGGCAGGTTTTGAATATCTCCAGAAA